AAACAAAACTCACTGCCATAGTCAATTCTGACTCATAATGACCCCCCATTGGGTTTCCAAGGGGTAAATATTTACAGAAGTTGATTGCCCCATCTTCCGAGAAGTGACTGATGGGTTTGAACCACCAACTTCTGGTTAGCAGTCAAATGCCTTAGGCACTATGCCACCAGAGCTCCAAGTTTATTAATATACATCTTAAATTCATATTTCTTATCTGTATTAGGCTAGATCTAGACCCTATATGGTAGGTTTTCTGCTACAGAGTTAAAATGTGTCACCACCTTTCTGTGGACTCTTGACTTCACATCAAGATAATCTTCCAGTAATTTAGTCACACTATTTGGTAGGCCAGGGCCCTCATTAGACTCTTTCAACCTAGACAGACACAAGAAGGCTATTTAGTGCCTCGGAAAATGTTTGCTCTCTGAAAATTAGAACATACCCTCTCTGGAACCTTCCTATTGCCCTTACCTTAAGTTTAGATGACTAAGCACATGTTTCTAAGTTTTCCTCTCTTTCTACAACTGTTTTTTGACTCCTTGCCTAGGTAGAGGTAGCCTTCTGGTATATCCAGTCATTTTTTCTCAGGAAGCATCTTAAATGCACCTAGTTCTGGTTCCTAGTAGTCTGCCTTAAATAGACAGAAGCAGTATCTCCATTTAGATTAACTATTTACTTAAAAAAAAAAAATCCACACAGTTCTTGCTGTGTTGCCACAATACTTGAAATAGGCTTCCATGGTTGTGTGTTTAAGGAATGTTTTGTTTACTTTAGCAGCCCTGGTGGTGCAGTGTTTAAGCACTTGGCTGCTAGCTGAAAGGTGGCCTTTTCAAACTCACCACCTGCTCTGAGAAGAAAGATGTGGCAGTCTGCTTCTATAAAGATTACAGCTTTGGAAACCCTGTGGGGTAGTTATACTCTGTCTTATAGGGTTAATACGAGTCAGGATTGACTGAACACAACTGGTTTTGTTTGTGCTTGTTTGTTTGTTTATCTTGTTTACATATGTGTGTGTATATGTGTGTATCATGCTTCAAATTTTGTTTCTTGCAATATTTTCTCCAAGTTACTTTCATGGTAATTTGCTAAATTTTCAAAGGTGGTATTTATTGAGTGGTATTTGAGTATTTTAATTTTAACATGTAATAAATTTGTAAAGAGGATTTTATTTTTTCTCTCCTGAGCATTTCATTTTTATATTCATCTTCTCACAGTATATTTATTTCCAAATCTCTACATGTACTCCTACAAGCATTATATTTTGTATTATTGTGATTACAAGTTCCCCTTCAACAAAGATCTTTATTGATCTATACTTTGTTTTCATGCCACTGTGTTCTTATTAAGGAGCTGTGGTAATGCAGTGGTTAAAACATCTGACTGCTAACCAAAGGTCAGCAGTTCGAACTCATCAGGTGCTTTGTAGGAGAAAGCTGAGGCATTCTGCTTCCGTAAAGATTTACAGCCTTGGAAACCCCACGGGGTAGTTCTGCTGTCCTATAGGTTTGCTACGAGTCAGAATTGACTCAATGGCAGTGGACTTGCTTTTTGGTTTGATGCTCTTATTGCATTTTTAGCTCTTGATTAAATTTCCATAATTTTCTTTTTGATCTATTACCAGGTTTTGTTATCATTATTATTTTTTAATGTGAAAACCATGACCCTGTAAACTCCAGGGCTCTCCAGCTTGTTGCTCATTATCAAGGAGCTCTGGTGGTATAGTGGTTAAAGCATTTAACTTCTAACCAGAAGGTTGGCAGTTCAAACCTACTTGGTTCTTTGTAGAAGAAAGATGAGGCAATTTGCTTCTATAAAGATTTATAGCTTTAGAAACTCTATGAGGCCATTCACACTGTCCTATAAAGTGCTATGAGTTGGAACCGACTCGATGGCAGTGGATTTTTTTTTTTTTGTTGTTGTTGTTCAATATAAACCTGTTCTATAATAAACTCTGCATGTTGTCTAATATGGAGACTCTAGGATTTCATAGTGGTGCCTATACTTTGTCCTATGAATTATACAAATACAAAATTTTAAAATGATATGCTGGCAGTTATAACTATTCTGGTTATTTGGTGCCACTGTGACAGGAATATACCACAAATGGGATGGCTTTAACAAACAGGAGTTTATTCTCACAATTTCAAAGTGCCAGGCTCTAGGGGCTGGGTGAAAGCCCCTCAACTTTGGGCTTCAGCTCTGCCTCCTGCTCCCAGCCCACTGAAGCTGGAGGCTTTTCTTCACTCAGCTGCTGGCTGCTGAAGATGACAAACCCAAGGTCGGCAAGTAACAAGGCACAATCCCAATATTACCAAACCACACGGCAGGCAAGTCCATTGAAAGTCCCAAGACTGGCAGAGCATGGCAGGCTGCTGAACGACTCAGCTACATACAGGGTCTAAGTATGCCATTAGCTAGAGACCATTCCCAAAGCTGCTTCTTCCATATGGGAAGCAGACCACATCCCTAAGACAGCTACTCAGTTGCTTGTGGTAGATTCTACCATGAAGTTGATTGCCATCATCATGGGGAATAACTACTACTACCTGCCCAGCCACTCAACCTGGCCCAGCCAAGTTGATACATGACCTTAACCACCATAATTACTAATTATACACAGTCTTCTAGTTATATCTTTACATGTTAAACTGGAAAATCTAGTTCCTAACTAACAGTTCCTGTATGTTTTTTCAAAGAAAAAAACAAAGAAAAAAGCACTCAAAGAAAGAACCCAAGACACAGTCTACGGATGTAGTGCTTAACTAATTTTTTCTTTGTATTGGAATATTTCAAAATGTAAACCTTGAATGGCGAAGTGGTTGAGGCATTCTTATTTAGAAATCCTTCAGATGCTTTGGTGTCTTTTATTCTCAAAAAAAAAAAAAAAAAACAAACAAACAAACAAACTCACTGCCCTGGAGTTGGGATTGGGTCAGGTCTGACTCATAGTGACCCCTCCTTGGGTTTCCAAGGAGGTATCACTATGGAAGTAGATTGCCCAACCTTCCTTCTGAGGAGTGGCTGATGGGTTTGTACCGCCAGCCTTCTGATTAGCAGTCAAATGCCTTAGGCACTACACCACTAGGGCTCCCTTTTATTCTCCACTCTCCCAAAATTGTGCGCAAAACTAAAATTGTGTGTGCTTAAAGTTTAGTATGAAATTTTGGGCTTTTTAGAAATTGAAATTAAGGTAGTCTCTAAATTAACTTATTCATGCTCTTTTTATTTAAGATATATTTTCTTCTGTTAGAACTATTTGTTCAGTTTTATCAGAAATTTAAAAATTACGATAGTTTAAAAAATCTTTGATAAAAGTATTTTTGTTTTGTTTTATTTCCATTTTCCTTGTTTAAAAAGTGTTAGATAAAAGTGTTTATAGAAATGAAAGATACTTGCTTAAAAGTGTTGTTTTTAAATGAATATTAATGGTTTCAACTATATATTTATGCTATAAAATTTGAATAAGTCTTTATAATTTTTAAACCTTTTAAACATCATTCCATTTATCTTTTCCTATTAAAAAATTATGTTTTCTGTCATGTAGTTAATGTATTTTAACTTATCTTCCTATCACATGAGACTGGTAAATTGAGCATATTTTCAGCAAGCCCCATGACTATCAGCAGTACTCCTTAGGAATTTACTTTCCACTTTTAGCAGTTTAATAAAAGAAATGACTACCATGATTTTCTTCAATTTTACCAAGTATTACATGAAAATGAAAGCCAGAAATGGAAAGTGTCTTAGATATCAGGAAAGATAATGGGAACTTTGGTGAAGTTACAGAGATAAATATATAGATTGACACCTTTCCTTTATATTTCTTTTTATAAAACAAAATCATTGATGGTATATGTAAGTTACAAACTAAAGAAATGTGATTTTCAGGTATTTGCAAGCATTTTTATGCATGCATTGTGTAAAATCACATTGCATATCAGTGTAAAGAATTTGTGTCGTTTTGAGCAGCGAGGGAAGAATTTACTTGTACTATTATTAACTTTGACCATAAGGATTTTATTATTTCCTTTAACTTCCAAGAACATTCATGTTCTGGTGCATGTTTTGGGGTGTATATATGTTTGTGTTGTCCATTTTAGCATGTGCTTTTATAATTCTGACATACCGAACTTCCTGAAGTTCTACTAAATGGAAGCATTTAGAAGTGGGATCCCTGTGTTAATAAGCAATGAGCATGTATAAAGTTTCTAGAAAATTCAGGACAGATTTTGTAATGTTCTTGGAAAAAGTGCTATAATAATTGCATGTTGGGATTTAGGTTTTGTTTATTTCAGATTTCAAGCTCAGTTTTCATTAAGCATTTATCAATCTATACATTTCACTTTCAGGAGAAATTTTGCAGTTCCATGTGATAAGAACACCCCCTGGTCGAGGAAATGTTACTATTAACTGGAAAATTATTGGGCAAAATCTAGAACTCAATTTTGCTAACTTTACTGGACAACTCTTCTTTTCTGAGGTAATTTTACAGAAAAAAAGCTTTACCACAAATATCAAGAGTAAACATAAAGAAAAATGGAAAACTCTCACTGTGTACTAAAAGATTAAAGGAGGTTGATGAGGGAATGATTACTTAGAAACCTAAAGGAAGAACATTACTCATAAAGCTCTTCTGAGTCTTTAGCAGGGGATTTGTTCTTCTCGACATGCTTCGGAAAATCTCTTTGAAGGAAAAAGAAAATATTGACTTTTTACTGTGAAACCTGTGAAAGCTGGAATGCAGGGGACTGCCTTGTTTTTCCAAGTCTTGCAAATTTTCCACCTTTGACATGGTGCAGTATTAACATTTTTTTTATCACTATCATGTGCATGGAAATTATTTGAGCTTTCCTTCTCTGACAGGTTTCCACCTTACACTGGTTCTGACATTGGCAGGTTTTACTGTGTTTTATCCAAGCTATTCTTCTTCTGGCCTCTCACAGTTGATGTCAGTGATGTCATCCTGAAGATGATGGACAGTGCCTCTTACTCTTCATTATCTTAGAACTTTAAACTCATGGCAGCAATAAACAGAGCTCTAAAAGAAAATGTCATTTTAAATCCAGTTCACACTATATTTTTAAGGTTCTGTTTACAGACTCTTTCTGGTAGTTTGAAAGAAGATGATTGGAGAGGAATAAATGTAAAGGCATTTCTTGGTTATAAATCAGCACTGCCATATGATGAATCTGTCATCTTCTTGTCTTCACACCCCGGCATGAATTCTCTGATAATGTGCTTTTAATTCATTTTCTCTCCATTTCTGTTGCCTCAACCTGAGTCAAGCCCCTATTACCTTTTACCTCAGGTACTACATTGGACTTTAGTAACTGGTCTCCCTGCTACACTGGTTGTCTTTTTCCTGCTCCAGTTTTTCTATTCACCAGTGTTATAGAGATCTTCCAAACGATACCCTTTTCTAAATTTTTAGTAGTTACATTACTCGTTGGATAAAACCTGCATTCATTAGCTCAGCATTTGCTATCTTCCACTGGTAGCATGGATCTACTTTAAGCTTGGTTTCCTATGAATCAACAGTTTTTTTATTTTACTTAGTATAAGCCACAGAACTCATAAGTTAAATTAAAATATTCTTGTACACTCCATTTGTAAGGGCAAGATAAGCAGCAGTTAGTTTGTGTTCCATAATAATACAGGGGATGGATTTCCTTTTTGACTAGGGGTCATTGAATCAAACAATATTTGTGCATTTGTTGGATGACAACATTCCTGAAGAGAAAGAAGTATACCAAGTAATTCTGTATGACATCAGGACACAAGGTAATTTAGAATTGTTTTAAATATTTTTTTCTAGGTATAATATTCTTTTCTGAAAAAGAAGAAATAACAGTTGCTAGCTCTATATTTAACAAATAGGTGGAATGAGAAAATATTATTTTAAGTAGTAACTGTCCTATAGAATATTATGTTGAAAAATTGATTTATTTCAAAAATAAACATATATTTATGGGCTCAGGAAAAAAAGAAGACAACCTATAAAAATGTTGGTAAAATATTTACTTGTAGAATAAAATACATTTCCAAAAGTAGATTTTTTTTTTACCCCAAAATTAATTCTATACTCTCAGATACATTGTATTATATATAACATAAATGATCATATAGAGCAGTTATCTGGATAATTTAGATGTAATCATTTCTTATGCACATTATTTGGTTACTTTCCTCCATTTGTACTCAATGATTGTAGTTCAGATATGACCAATATGGCAAATAATGACAATAGTAAGTGAGAAAATTCATGATATTCTGACTATAAAAAGGAAAGAAAATAGTATCTGGGCTCTGTTGGTCAACCCAAAGATTTCTATTAGAGAAGTGAACAAAATAACATGCTTTCTGGTTACTATATGTTTCAGAGAAGGCAATTATAATGTAAGTATTTGGAAGTTAATGCCTTGTCACTGTCAGATTTCCTGACCTGGTTCCTGACATTTCTAGGAGTTCCACTGGCAGGAATGGCTGTACTTGATGCTCAAGGATATGCATCTGTGCTTACAGTGGAAGCCAGTGATGAACCTCATGGAGTTTTAAATTTTGCTCTTTCATCAAGATTCATTCTAGTGGAAGAGGCTAACATAACTATTCAGCTTTTCATCAACAGAGAATTTGGATCTTTAGGTTTGTGTTACTCTAGTTGGACTGGGGTTTCTGGGCAGGTGCTATTTGTAACATTTTATGTCTGTGGATGAAAACCATTGAGAAAATAAATCAGGCACAGGAAAGAATGAGTATTTATTAGTTGAGGGGCAGGACTTCATTATTGTACAGATTGAAGGAATTATTTCTTGTCACAATAGATATATCTGGGTATAACAATCATAACATCTCAGCAGCCTATGGCTGTCTGTGACTCTGTTACAATAGGCTGGGCTTGGCTAGGGGTCGGTCTCCTCCATGTATCTGTCATTCTCCTGGGATGAGCAGAGGCACATGAAAGAAAGAACAAAATCTGCAAAGCCTCTTGAGATTTAGGTTCAGAGCCAGCATATCATCCCTTTCACCTTGTATTATTGGCCAAAACAAGTCATATGTCGAACCTTCTTTGTCCACAGTAGCAGATCATTCAGCTTTTAGTTGGCAAAGCTGTGGATGTAGGAAGGGATGAGTAATTGGACAAATAATACATTCCACTTACGGTGCTTTTAAGAAAGTCATAAAGTATACAGTGTGAAATATGATTTTAAAAGTTTAGTTACATCTTTTTTCCTACCAATTCAATTAGGAGTTGTCAATGTCACATATACCACAGTTCCTGGAATGCTGAGTCTAAAAAACCAAACAGAAGGAAACCTTGCAGAGCCAGAAGTGGATTTTGTGCCACTATTTGGCTTTCTGATTTTAGAAGAAGGGGAAACATCAGCAGCCATCAACATTACTATACTTGAGGTAAATCTCTTAGGTTATTACTGTATTAAATCTGAAGTAAACCGCATAAAAAGTAAAAATTAAGGGACTATTCTATTTGTAAGATATTATAAGCAGCAACATTTAACAAGAGACATCTGATACCTTTGCATTTAGGGCTTTAAACTACATATAGACTTGTGCTTGTCTGATATATATAACTTTGCTTTCAGTATAACAATTGTAACATTTGGATACTATGCAACTATTATCTCTAGACTTGGTGAATTCATTTTTGATAGGTTCCCCTGCCTTTAAATCAGCTTTTTTTTTTTTTTTTAAAATTTTTTGTTTGGTTTTTTGGAGGTTGCAGTTCTTATTTAGATAGGCTGGTGTGCTGTTGTGTATTTTGGCAGAGAAAAATCTTGTGATAAAGACAGTTACCGTAGGGCAGTCCTGTTTTCTATGGCATTAGCCAAGAGATTCCAAAGAAACATTTTAATAATTCTGAAGGATTAATTGGACCAGAAAATCTATGTAGCTCAAAATCTTTGTTGGTGAAAAGCCAAATCCAAAATCTACTGCCATCATGTCGATTCTGACTGGCAGCAACCCTATAGGGTAGTAGGAAACCATAGCATTTACAAGATTGTAAATCTTCATGGAAGCAGACTGCTTCATCTTTCTCCTATGGAGTGGCTGGTGGGTTCAAACCACCAACCTTTTGGTTAGCAGCCTGATGCTTTAACCATGGCATCAGTTGAGGTCCTCTTTGTTGGTAGGACTGGTTAAATTAAAGATAGTGGGAAACTCACTAGAAGTTGGTATCAGTGTGATTATCGTAAAACTCAATCATTGGTGACAGGAATTGCTGTTTCAAATGAGTTTTCATATTGTAATGTTTTTGGAAATTAATGTTTCAGCTATCTACATTTCTAAGGCGTTTATAAAAACAGTACATGTGGAGGGAGTAGGCAGTAGTATCACTAAGTTTGGTGTCACCTAGTATGGTAATTCATGATGTCACTCCCTTACCCCCTTGGACCTCCTCCTGTACCAGAATTCTGGGTGGTGACCTCTGACACTGGTTTTTCTAGTCCTTATGTTTTGAGCATCTGCTATATTTTCAGGGAGGTCTGGTGGCATAGTGCCTAAGGCACTTACTTGACTGCTAACCAGAAGGTTAAAACCCACCAGCCACTCCACAGAAGGAAGACTGCGCCATCTACTTCTGTAGAAGTACCACCTCAGAAACCCCAGGAAGGGTTGCTATGAGTCCTATTTGACTCAACAGCTGTGAGTTTGTTTTTTTGTTTCTTTGCAGTATTTTCATGGCTGTTATTAAGGATTAGTGACTAATAAGAATAGCTGTCATTTTTCAGTATCTTATCTAGGCCAGGTACTCCACACACATTATTTTTAATCATCAATCCTACAACATAGCTATTATTTGGCCCAATTAAAACTGTAGAATTAAAGTATTGAAAATTAAAATCACCTAAAATTGCAGAATTTGATACTGTCTCCTTGACTGCAGTGCTCTCTTAGTTACCTAGTGCTTCTGTAACAAAGAACATACCACAATCACAATTTGTTGTGTTGTTGTTAAATGCCATTGAGTCGGCTCCAACTCCTAGTGGCCCTGAATGAAACACTGCCCAGTCCCTTATATCAGTGTTTCACTGCTGTTTGTAAGGTTTTCACTGGCCAGTTCTTTAAGAAGATGATGGCTCTTTCCTTCTCCTAAGTCTGTCTGGCTCTGGAAGTTCTGCTGAAATCTGTCCACCATGGGTGACCTAGTGGCATAGGCTCCAGCCTCACAGCAATACACAAGCTTCCACACTATGACAAACTGAGTGGTGGACAGTCACAATTAGGTAGCTTTAAAGACTAGATTTTTTTTTTCCATGTAATTTAGGTTGCTAAAAAAAAAAAAAAATGTACTGCCTTTGAGTCAGATCCGACTCATAGTGACCTCTCCTTGGGTTTCTGAAGCAGTGTCACTATGGAAGTAGATTGCCCAACCTTCTTTCTGAGGAGTGGCTGGTGGGTTTGAACTTCCAGCCTTCTGAATAGCAGTCAAATGCCTTAGGCACACCACCAGAGCTCCTAATTCAGGTTGCTAGAAGTCCAAATTCAGGGTCTGGCTCTAGGGGAAGTCTCTTTTTGTCTCTTTCAGCTTCTAGTTACTGCAGCAATCTTTAATATAATTAAGACACAGGTTTGATATGGGGAAAGGATTTTAAAAATAAAGAATATAGCATTAGCTGTTAGATGATAGTTTTTGAAGCTTGTTTATGGGCACGTGGGGGTTCACTGTGCTAGTCCTTGTGTCTGTCTGAAATATTTTATGGGAGCTCTGGTGGTGTAGTGCCTAAGGCATTAGACTGCTAACCAGAAGGCTGGCAGTTCAAACTCACCAGCCACTCCTCAGAAAGAAGGTTGGGCAATCTACTTCTGTAGTGATAATAAATAATTTTAGCCACTTAAATAAATAAATAAATAAATGTTACTCATTCATTCAAAAAAAAACCCCAAAACTTTGGTGTTCCCGGGCTTTCAGATGCATCTGCTGTGTGTCTTCATATGGTGTCTTTCTACTGTGTGTGTGTCTGTATCTGTTCTGTTCTTTTTTGAAATTCCGAAGTGATTAGATTTCCTATCCACCCTGAACCAGTATGATATCATTAACATAAGAAAAACCTATTGCCATAGAGTCAACTGATAGCCACACGTTCTTGGGTTTCTGAGGCAGTATCATTATGGAAGTAGATTGTCCAACCTTCCTTCTAAGGAGTGGCTGGTGGGTTTGAACCACCAGCCTTCTGGTTAGCAGTCAAATGCCTTAGGCACTACGATACCAGAACATAAGAAAAGAAACCCCCTATTTCCAAATAGAGTTATGTTTATAGGTGCAGGAGTTAGGATTTCAACACATATTTTTTGGGGACACAATTCAGTCCTTATCAAAAACCTATACTTCATGGTATTATTCTATTCCTTACTGTACTAAACACTGGATGTTTAAGATAAGATAATTTTATATCTTTTGCTCATGTTATGTTTTGAATATATTATGATTATATATTTATATAATTGTTTTACATATTATGTTAGTTGGAGTAATATAATATACAGAAGAATTACAAGGAGCTCTGGTGGCACAGTAGTTAAAGCATTCAGCTGCTAACCAAAGGTCGATGGTTCAAACCCACCAGCTGCTCCATAGGAGAAAGCTTCTGTAAAGATTTATAGCCTTACAAACTCAAGGGGCAGTTCTACTCTGTCTTGTAGGATTGCTATGAGTCAGAATTGACTTGATGACAAAGTGTTTGGATTTTGGTTTTATTAGTCTAGGTTAAAAAAAAAAAAAATGAGGAACACTCGTGGTGCATTGTTTAAAGTGCTTCACTGCTAACCAAGAGGTCACTGATTCAAACTCACCAGATATTCCACAGAGAAAGATGTGGCAGTCTTCTAGTAAAGATTTACAGCCTCGGAAAACCCATGGGGCAGTCTACTCTGTCCTACAGGGTTGCTGTTGGTTGGATTCAACTTGATGGCAGTAAGTAGGTGGAAAATGATAATAATATTAGCAGTGTCATATGGTTCAGTGTAATAACTTATCAAACAGATAGGTATAGTGTAATACTTTCTGTGATTATATCTTAAACTAATTTAAATATTTTCTACCGTAGGCCTACATTTTTATGTTTAGTGGCATAGTGCCTAAGGCATTTGATTGCTAACCAGAAGGCTGGTTGTTCAAACCCACCAGCCACTCCTGGAAAGGAAGGGTGGCCAATCTACTTTCGTAGTGGTACCACCTTGGAAACCCGAGTGATGTCCGACTCGATAGCAGTGTGTTTGATTTTTCTATACTATTTAAGATAATTTAAAACCAGCTTATGGAAGTGGATAATTACTTTGAGAGCATCATGATATGTATTTTAATGGGTGTATTTTTTGCAGGATGATATACCAGAGCTAGAAGAATATTTCCTGGTGAATTTAACTTATGTGGAACTTATCATGGCTCCTTTAACTTCATTTCCTCCCAGACTTGGTATAATTTTTTTGTTTTGTTTTGTTTTTCTATTTCTTTTTATTCACTAACTTCAAATGATTTAAAGATACCACTCCAGTTTTTAATCAGTGGTCATCATTGTGATGTTTGTTAATCTCAGCTATGTGTGAAAATGTTATAGTCTTTTATATATACTTTGTTAGACTATCATGTATTTTAGTATTATATTTTGGACAATGTAGAGACATTTAAAAATTATTTTGTGATATCTTTTAAATTTTACAACTACTTTCTAACCAAATTTCAGTCTCAAACAGAATTGGTTCTTTGCATCATTGAGCCCATAGAAGGCATTTTCCTTTATAATTTAGTTAGCTATTTTCATTAGATCTCTAACCATCAGATGGTTTTATTTTTTAAGTTAATAAGGGCTTTTTTTTGTTTGTTGTGTTCTTTGCTGCTTTTCTGACTTTTTATCTTTTTCTTTTCATGCTTTTAGAAAAGACTCAGTTAATTCATTACAGGCTGAAAGGTAAAATTTGAACCTTGGTGCAAGTTTATATGGATTTCTTTAAAAAGATATATTCTTACTTTTAAAATACAGACTCCTATTTGTAGTTTGGAAATCTACTATTGGAAAATTTTGTCTGAAGCTTTTAGGCATAATGGCCCAATAGAGGGTGGGGGTGAATAGCACGGAGGGTAGCCTGTTTCTTATCCATTTGTTAGAAGATGCGTTGGGCAAAGGGGAAATAAAGTGGTTTAGGGGAGGAGAAACTTGTCCATGAGCAGTCCTGGGGAACAGGGCTTCTTCATTCTACTCCTTAGACTCAATGACAACTTTGAAAATACTGAAAGCCAATTAACAATTTCTAACATTTGAACAGTTTCAGTTCTTCTGCAAAAGAAATATGTATTTCCAATAACTAGGCTTACATAAAATAATTATTACAAGATATAAATATTGTTCCTTGTAAGAAAACTAACCAAATATTTCATTTTTTTTTTACACTCATATTAGAGGTAATTAGAATAAGTTGCTATTTGTTTAGTGTACTTTTTGAAGTGCTTTGTAGATCAGTATCATTATTTACATGTTCCTATTTTACAAATGAGGGAACTAAGGCTAACAGAAGATAAGTAACCTGCCAAAGCCACACAGCTAGTATGTAGTAGAGCTGAGATTCAATGGGCATGGCCTGCCCTTAGAATCTGTGCATTGTAGCCCCTAGTCTGATAGGCATGAATACTGATTACATCATCTTTTCTTGACAATGTTGTTTTCTCTAGAAAGAATTATCCTACCCCTACCTGTGCCCCACTCAGGTAGCTTCCATAAGTTATCCTAGCTTAAGGTACCAAACTCAAACCAAGCTTAATTACAGACCTTTTGATTAGCAGCTAAAGGTCTTAACCTACACCACCAGAGCTCCTTTAGACTAAGGTACAGCCTCTAAAATTTATAAGGACACTCAAAGTATTTTTTTAAAAAGCAATAGTAGGGTTAGTTAATATTTCAAGACTGAGTATTAGTAACATTCTGAACTTAATGGACAGAACACAAAATAAGTAATTTTAGCCCATCTGAGTTAGACTAGAGACATTTATGTCTACCTGAGTCTCTTTATTCCAACAAAGCTCTTTCTCATCGATCCTACCTGTCTCAACTTCTGTTTGTATGCCTGTCTCTCTGTCGCTATCTCTTTTTCCCACCTGTATTTCTCTTTAGGACACTCCTATCTTTCTCTTTCCCTTTCTTTTCTCTCTTTTTTTAATTCTTTCTATGCCTTTCAAATGCCCTCATTTTCCTTCCCTCCTGAAATGTTGATAATGTAGAATAGTGGATCCAAATATTTTAAATGAATTTTTGTTAATAGAAAAAAAAGCCCATAGCCTTAGTTGCTTATTATTTCTTATTATACTGCTTTCAGTTGATTAATATTCTATTACTTAGTGGATCTCGCTAGCAAAATGTTTCTTCATTCAGAGGTTATAAGCTTTCATACCCTTATATTTTTTAACATCTTGAGTAATGTTAACAATACCTATATGTTAGGAATTATATAATCTTGAACAGACTGTCTTTATATTTCACATCTAATAATATTTTCATTAGTCATTTACTTTTAAATGGTGTTTCAATGATTTTTTTCAGATTCAGAAGGCTCGACTGCACAAATTATTATTGATGCCAATGATGGTAGCCGAGGCGTAATTGAATGGCAACGTAACAGGTAAATCTAAGACTGAGTTAGAATCTTTTTCTGGATTTTAGATTCTTTACCATCTATGGAATAACCTTATAAGGAAAATAATTGAAAGTATTCTTTTTACTTCATTGTAGGTTTGAAGTGAATGAAGCCCAGGGCAGTTTAACATTGGTAGCCCAGAGGAGCAGGGGAGCTCTTGGCCACATTTCCTTGTTTGTTTATGCACAGAACTTGGAAGCACAACTAGGGCTGGATTATATCTTTACTCCAATGGTAGGACTCAAAATCAATCACAGATCACTTTCAGAAATGATTTTGTAAGCATTATTCTTTCAGGGTTACAGTAATTCAGCTTCTATATAAAGACTAATCTTAACATGATGAAACATTATATGTCTCACTGTAATTTAGCACAGAAAACTTTCATGTGATGTGATAATTTCTTTCACTATTTTATTTGAAGAATATTTAGAATTTTTGGGAGCTCTGGTGGTGTAGTGCCTAAGGCACTTGACTGCTATCCAGAAGGTTGGCAGTTCAAGCTCACCAGCCACTCTTTGGAAGGAAGATTGGGCAATCTACTTCCGTAGAGATATCACCTTGGAAACCCAAGGAAGGTTCACTATGAGTCTAATCAGCTTGATGGCAGTGAGTTTGGTTTGGTTATTTAGAATTTTCAGTACTATTCTAAAAGTTATTTTGTGTCCATTCAATATATTGTTACAATATTTCTTATTGGAAGAAAATTGGCATTGTATTAGAGAATTTATTAAATTATCTGATCTTACCAAAGTGTGTATTAGGCACTGTGAAAATTTTAACTCTTATATTTCTTTGTCGTAATTTACTGGAACACCTTTGATGTTTTCTATATTTTACTTTGTGTCTTCATGCCTTTTATTCCTTAACTAAACATATATTTTCTTTTTCACCATTACTTTCACTTATTTTTTAACCAAATATTGCCAATTTTAATAAAAATTTATCTTGCAAAAAGAAAATATCCTGTAAAGTAGCTTAACTCTTTACATTTATAACTACACTGCATTGCTTTCCAAACATTCTAAAAAACTTGGGAGTTATCTAATATGTAATAACCAAACCCAAAATCTAACTCATTGCCAAGTCAGTTCTGACTCAAACGACCCCCATTAGTTTTCCAAAGCTATAAATCTTACAGAAGCAGACTGCCTCATCTTTCTTCTATGGAGCAACTGGTGGGTTCGAACCACTGACCTTTTTGTTAGCAGCCAAATGCCTTAATCACTACACCATCAGAGCTCCTTATGTAATATGATATGTAATATGTAATAATGTCTATATTTACCTTTTTGACCAGATTCTCCATTTTGCTGATGGAGAAAGATACAGGAATGTTGACATCATGATTCTGGATGATGACATTCCAGAAGGAGATGAAAATTTTCAGCTGATTCTAACAAATCCTTCTCCTGGACTAGAGCTGGGGGCAAACACAATAGGTAATTGATAACTTCTTTTATACAATTCCCTCTCCTTGATTCTGTTTTTCTTAACATGTTAGCAGATATAAAAGTTTGGAAACAAAGTTCTAATGGTTTTCAAATCTTAGAAAGAAAAATGAGTATGTTAATATTCCTGTGTCAGTGTAACTGCTTCAGTCTCTGTGTGTGTGTGTGTGTATAGGGAACAAAAAAGTAGTTGGTACCAAAAAGAATATTAAATCATTTTCACAATGATTGTAGATTATACTTATTGTAGATGTCTTTCCTTTGGAAATTTAGCTCTGCTTCTGATTTTTTGCTTAGCAACAGAAACAACGACAAAGTTATGTTGTAGTGTCATGTAACTGCTGTAGTATTTTGGCATAGGAATGGAGGTGTATTGCTAGATCAGATAGACTATAAGAGCCATAATTCTTTGGTTGGAACAGTTGGACCTTGTTACTAAAAGTCCTTCTGGTCATTGCTTGTCAGGTCCCTGCTAACTGATTGTTGTTGTTGTTATGTACTGTTGAGTCAGAGAGGAGATGAAAAGAGAGACAAGGGAGAAAACCTCATGGACATAAAGAACTTTAGGTTTAGAAGGGACTCTAAAATGTCATTTAATTCAATTCCTTCTGGCAACAAATAAGCCAAGTGAACATAGAGCACTGAATCTTGACTGACTGTTCAACTTCATGTTTTAGTCAGTGGCTGAGTGTTCTTTGCAAAAACCAAACCAAACTCATTGCTGTCAAGTCGGTTCCGACTCATGACAACCCCCACTGGGTTTCCAAGGCTGTAAATCTTTACAGAAGTAGATTGCCCCATCTTCCTTCCTCAGAGCGGCTGGTGGGTTTGAACTGTTGATTCTTTAGGATTTCTTTAATTTGATTAAATGTGTTAATAAATTACCTTTGTTTAAGCCAGTTTGAATTAGGTTTTCTGTTGTTTGTATAGAGAAGATTCTTTTTTTTCTCTTTAAATATTTTATTGTATTTTTGGTGAAAGTTTATGCAGCAAATTAGTTTCCAGTTTAATAATTTCTATACATATTATTCAGTGACATTGATTCTCTTTATTTCCATTCTGCTTGTTCTGCTTCCATTAATCTAGTTTCCCTGCCCCCTCTTCCTTCTCATCTTTGCTTTAGTTTGGTAAATGTTCACCATTTGGTCTCAGATAAATGATATTTTTTAAAAAGGAGCACTGATATTTTTAATTTATGAACCAATCAGTTACATAGCTGAAAGGTGATCTCCAGGAATGATTCCAGTTCACAGTTTTAGGGTATCTCAGGGGGATAATCTTAAAGGTTCCTCTATTCTTTACCAGACCAGTAATTATGGCCTTTTATTAATAATTTGAGTCTTATTCTAGATTTTTCTCCCATTCGATCTGGGACCATTTGTTGTGTTCAGAACAGTTGGTAGTGGTAGCTAGGCACCAACTAGTTTTTCTGGCTTCAGGAGAGAGGAGGCTGTGGTTCATATAAGCAATTAGTCCTGTAGACTAATTTCTTCTTTGAGTCTTTGGTTTCCTTCTTTCTCTTTTGCTCTAGATAAGTAGATACCAATAGTTGTATCTTAAGTGGCTGCTCCCAATCTTTTAATAAGAAGCTCTGGTGGCATAATGCCTAAGGCATTTGCCTGCCAACCAGAAGGTTGGTGGTTCAAACCCACCAGCCACTCTGCAAAAGGAAGACTGGACAATCTACTTCTGTAAAGATTTACTACCTAAGAAACCCAGAAGGGGTCAATGAGTTGTAATTGACTCGATGGCAGTGCATTTTTTTTTTTTTTTTTTTTT